TTAAAAGGTGGGAAGTCGTATTTTTCATTGACATCATGAAAACGTTCTACTCTAAATACATAGGCATATTTTCTATGTTCTCAACAAAGAAACCAATAAGCCATAAGGTTATTTACAGTCATATTTTTTTTATTTAAAAATCTTAATTCTTTAGAAAGTATTAAGCTGAGAGACTTTCTCCAAATGAGAGTGAGAGAAACTATATTCTGCCTGTCTCCCTCCCCCCGCCAAAATTACAACTTCATCATTTTTTCCGGGAATGGTGATGTTTTATTTACAAAGAGAGAATTGCTTTTTAAATGGATTTAGTGGAAATTCTTTTTTTTTGTAATCTTAGGGAGACATAATTAATTATAACATCGTGCAGGTGTCAAGTGTACCACATAATGATTCTAGTCAAGATCGCTATATGCAAACCTCAAAGTTGCTAAGAGACTAGGTCTTGATCGTTCCTACCACAACAAAGAAATGATAATCATGTCACATGACAGAGGTGTTAGCTAATCTTAAGGTGGTGATCCTATTGCAATATATAAATACGTTGAGTCAGGGGCACCTGGGCGGCTCAGTCGGTTAAATGTCCAACTTCAGCCTAGGTCATGATCTCGTGGTTTGTGAATCCGAGCCCTGCTTTAGGTTCTGTACTGACAGCTCAGAGCCTGGAGCCTACTTGGGATTCTGTGTCTCCGTCTCTCTCTGCTCCTTCCCCTCTCTCTCTCCCTCTCTCAAAGATAAATAAACATTAAAAATTTTTTTTAAATTAAATATACGGAGTCAACATCTAGTCCTCATTTTTAATTAAACCTTAAAAAGAATGCCCAAATGTTCACTTCTCTAACATTAGTTGCAAGACCACAGCACGACCTCATTCCAGCTATTCCACTATTTGCTACTTTTCCCACCTCTATAATTTCCACTCTTTCCAATTTTATACGCATGGAATTGGCAGTCAAATTGTTTGCGAAAAAGTATTTTTGTCTACTTATTCATTAATACATTAATTATTTTGCTCATAAATTCATTGCTTAATCTATGATTTCAGTACTCCCAGACCAGTTCTTGCACCTTCTTTTTAAATTATTTCTTCCCTGCTACAAGGACCGTGCTATTCGGCAGCTGGTAGACCACCAAAAGGGATTGCTTCCCAGGTATTTATCATACATGACATAGGAAGAATGACATTTCTGGACCTCTAATTCCATGGATAAAACTTGGGAATAATAGAATTCTCTTTTACCTTGCTATAGAAAATGAAATAAGATAATGACATAAGTAATAACACAAGATACACAACAAAAGCCCATTTTCTTCTGACTATACGTAACTTCATTCTATTTGAAATCTTGCCATTGTTGCTTACTGACCTACGTGATTCTGCCTCTGTCATTATTTGTATTTTAGGAGAGTATTTAGATTCATAAATTTCTCTTCTTAAACGTGCAGGTAAGTTGTTGTATACCATAGACTAATTTTTGACCTTCATAATGTAGCCAGGTTAATTACTAGTTAATGAAAACCATTTATTTTGCCTATAATAAGCTGCTCAGCAGGAATTTTCCACCTAATTAATAGTGACATGTTATATGAACCACATCTGGCATTTTGCACCTCTTTCGAGGCAATTTCGAAGACTAATCATCCACAATACATTTGAATATGTCTTTGCCAGTCATGATAACAACTCACGGAGAAGAATATTTCATAAACAAACACTGCACAGTGATCATTCGAAGTGATTTCAGTTTCCTCATAGACAGTAAAAATAAGTTGAAGAATGCTTCTTTGTCTCAAGAGTAGATATGAAAGTCCTTGGTTAAAAATTAAACCATGTTCTAGCCCTCAGTGGTACCCCTCTCGATATTGTAAATATTACTATTTAATTACTAATCTAATTACTTTCCAAATGAACATATAAAATATGTATTAAGTGGAAGAAAACCCATCTAGGCCACTTCTGCAGAATTAGATCGTCATCAAATATATGTCTGGTTATGATTGTTAAAGGGGTCAAATCGAAGGAGTTTACATACAAAATAATTTCAAACCCTAATGGATTAATACTTTGATGATTTCTAAAACTGTGCATCACAGAGCACTCATCCTTTACACGGGACTGTGTACGTTAGGGAAGTCAGATAAAACATGTTAACTATGGAAACATTTCAACCTTTAATTACAGGAACACACAGCTTTGCAACTTCCCTTTGTTATAAATTTCACCAGTCACTAGAGTTAATACGTAAAATATTTTAAACAGTCTGAACGGCCTGACAGCCAGTAATCTTCAGTGCAATTTGTCTACTCGTATTCATTCTGCCTTCATAATCTCAGGTCAGCCAACCTTTGATGAGGCAAGTAAAGAGGCAAAATGTTGGGATTCCGGCATGCCAACAAATGGACCCTATCACTGGAATAAGAGAAATTTCAGGTAGTCTCATTCATGCTCCTATAGATTATTAAAATTTCTTGAAAACGTCAATGCTCCATTCTCCAGACTATATCTCCCAGATCTGCTAAACAATGTGGAGTTAGGAAAACAAGATTACCGCAATATTAGGCCTATCCACAGTAATGACAACAGGCCGGATGTGAGGGGGCATTAGAGATTGCCCTGAGGTAATCACTTGGCCAAGATTTGAGAAATTAAATCAGATCTTCAATATTTTGCATAAATCCAGCTGTGGTTTTATCTGCACGAAATGTGTTGCCTTAATGTTATATTTTACCTGGTCTATGGATCAGAGGAACAAAATTACCATAATCCACTGACCTCACCTGTTTTCATTCATATTCACTTTAGATTACAGGAGTTAATATGTTTCATAAGATGAGTTTTTCCAGAAAACAATGACAAAACCGGAAACTCTTCATGAAGGCAAAGAATGAGAAGGGAAGACACGACCACAAGCTAGGGTTTTGAGATAGGAAACCGAAGGCACCCGTGAGAGAAAAAGCTGCTTTTCCCCTTTGCTTCTTTTCTGACTTCTATTCGTGCTAGGACCTGCTCCCCCACTCCACTCCACACATGCCTCGGGATGCAAATAGCCCATGTCATCCTTGTAAGGGACAAGGAGTTCGTGATTTCTCTAGAATACCACGCATGGAAGGAAAGACCAGGTGAGAATGATTGAAGCTATCACACGCATACCCCAGACCAAAGGCGCCAGACATCTCGATGCCGAGACCCCTGGCTTCAGCCAATAAGTGACATATGATGGACACCTGGACCTTGTCCTCTTTCTGACCAGTTCCTGGATGCCTGAGGGTACACGTGCACCAGACCACAACTGTCAACAAAAACCCTAGGCCCCAAGAAAGATGAGACTCCTTCTTTTCCTTTCTGAATCTCCCAGACGTTCCAAGTGTATCTCCTTCCCCACGTCTTCAATAAAGTAGGATTTCGCCTTCTACTGCCTTTGATTTCCATCTTGAGTGAAGCCAAAGACTGTGTAGGTTGGTCCCGGGGGGCCCCCCTCTGGGTCCTCCGACTCCACCTATCTGCATCAATTTTATCGTTGCAACCTATACATTTCTCTTATCCTTCTCACTTGCTTCTGGATAAAACTAAATGATGTAGGGTCTCAAGAAGATTGTTCATACTACAGGAAAAAATAACACGCTACCATAAAAAGTTACTCTAAATAAATGACTTCCCCTAACCGTACCCTCTGTATAAACATTTCTCTATGGGGCACCTGAGTGGCTCAATGGGTTAAGCATCAGACTTCGGCTTCAGTTAGTCAAGCTTCTGAATTCAGCTCAGGTCATGGTCTCATGGTTCCTGAGTGTGAGCACTGCGTCGGGCTCTGTGCTGACAGCTCAGAGCCTGGAGCCTGCTTCAGATTCTCTCTCTCTCTCTCTCTCTCTCTCTCTCTCTCTCTCTCTGCCCCTCCCCTGCTCGTGCTCTGTCTCTCTCTCAAAAATAAACATTAAAAACAAATCCAAACATAACTCTTCATGTAGTTGTGGTGTAAAGCCTAAAGCCAAGGTGCAGTCTGATGCATTGTCTTCTGGTAAAATCAGGAGGACTTCAAATGGCCTAACTACAAGGTTGTCGCCCAATCAGCCCACCAGGATAAGGCCCCCTAGCCAGGCAACAGTCCCCATCAAATGTACCAAGTGTAGCTACTGCTTCTGGAGGGTGGGCGTCAGTTCCCTGCCAGGCCATGGAATTATTCAACAAGCCAATTACGTGATCACATAGAAACCAGGGGGCACCCCACCCTCTTGATTCTGCAGAACTTCCCTCTGACAGCCCCTGCCTGTTCACCGTTCTCAAGTGCAACCCTCTTGGGGCCCCACGTGGTTGGGATTCCCCTCCTCAAAGCTGGGTTTGTCCGTCCCCATATCACGAGGTAGGAATTACTACTTTCTTAACAACAGGCTGAATAGCAAACAATTAAAACTGTACAGAAATTATAATGATTTTTTTTTGCTTTAATATGAAAAAGTGGGAAATTGCATTAATTAATTTTAATGCATTCCTGCTGAAGGTCCAACTGACCCATGATGAATTATCCTTCGTACGTTTTTCACTTTACTATCTAGTATTTTCCTTAGGATTTTTGTATGAATGTTCTTAAAAGTTATTGGCTGTGAGATTCTCTTTTATTTTGCTGTTCTTGTTAAGTTTGGTTTTAAGGGCCTGATTAGCCTCATGAAATGAAAAGAAATTCACTCATTTTTATTTTAATTCTGGGAAAGCTTGTATATGATTGGAATTACTTGTTATGCAGATGTCTGATAGAATTCATCAGTGAATCCAACTTTGTGTGGGTTTTCTATATAGAAAGATTGTTGATTGTTAATTGAATCTATCTGGCTTTAGTTATAATTCAGATTTCTTTTTTGTCGTCCTCATAAGTTTTACTAATATTTTACCAGCTATTTTTAGATTTTTATCTAAATTTTCCTATAGTTTGCTATAAAGTGACTGACTCAAAATATGCTTTCATAAACTTGTCTATTATATGATTTCTCTTGTCTATTGTGTCTCTTAGGCTTGTTCATGCTGCTTTGTTTCCTTCTGTGCATGATGTTTTAACTGAGTTGCAGACATTACTGAAGAAAAATTGGAAAAAAAAATTGTCGGGCCCTAAATGATGTTGCATTTCACATTAGAGGCCAGAGATTTTGGCAACACTGAAATCAGTTTAATCTACACAACTATTGAGAATGCTAAGTTGGATGTTAGTCTTTGAACTATGTTTATTCCTATCATTCCCAGCCAAATTGCTAGGAGTTGTAACAAGATTTCAACTCATGCCCCGGTATGCATGAACTTTGGTTCCTCTTGTCCCATGGATATTCAGATGAATCCTTTCTTATCTGGCTTTTCTTCATCTCTACTGATATTTTGCTGTTGTTTTACAGTCTGTTTTATCTGAGATTAGTACAGCCACTCTAGTTTTCTGTGGTTTCTGTTTGTAGACTTTTTTCTATCATTTTGCTTTCAACTCATATCTTCAAATCCAGTGTGTCCCCTAAAGACAACACGTAATAGGCTATTGTTTATTTTAACCATATTGACCAACTCTGCCTTTTGATTGGATTGTTTACTTCATTCACATTTAATGTTCGGATTTATGGCTCATAGTTTTGTTTTACATAAATTGCCTGTCCTCAATGTTTCTCCATCATTAACTGCTTTCTTTTGCATTAAGTGAATATTTTTCAGTATAACATTTTCATTTCTTTAATAAATAAGAAGAAAGAATAAAGAAAGAAGAGGAGGAAGAGGAGAATAACAAGAACAACGATGATGATCACAACTCCATGTGCTTGGGCTTTAGATTTATTTTATTTTTCAATTAATTTTGCTCCAGGTCTGATTATCCAATCTGTTTGAGTGTTTAGGCCTAAAGCATTCAATATTAATATATTTTATCCTTAAAATGGCTCAAGTGAATCATATGCCCAAAGTGATCTGGAGTCAGTTCCTTCGAAAACCCTGCAATTGTTGAGGGGCGCATGGGTTGCTCAGTGGGTTGGGCGTCCCACTTCGACTCAGGTCATGACCTCACAGTCGTGAGTTCGAGCCCCACGTCGGGCTCTGCGCTGACAGGTCAGAGCCTGGAGGCTGCTTCAGAATCTGTCTCCCCTCTTTCTCTGCCTCTCTCTCTTTCTCTCTCTCTCTCTGTCTCTCAAAACTGAATAAACGTTAAAAAAGTATCGAAACCCTTGGAATGTTCAAAGCACACAGTTTTGCTGGCTTCATGTTTTTCTAAGGAATAAGTCTAAGCAGGCTCATAGAGGAATTTTCTGGAGGAGACGCTGAATGTGTTTCAACTTGGTCAATCTTCAAAGGCCCAAGAAAGCAGGAAAATAAAATAGTTCATAGTTTGTGCCAAATATTTTCTTAATGACCAGCAATCCAAGTGGTGATTGCATTTGGTTGTTAAGAAACCTCTTTCGGTCTCCCAGAGACAGGCACTGGATCTGAGGTTATCACTGCATTGGCTCAAATGCTCAGTTAGTAATGGCTTCAGTCAAAAGATCAACTCTTATCCATTGAATATTTCAAGCAAGTATTGATTGTGTTGCATTTTTTCTTAGATGTTTGCTATTTTTTATTTCAACTCACTTTTAAGTGGAAATACTGTCAAAATTCCATAATTCATAGTTAAACTAAAGCTTGTTTGAAGCCCTTATAAAACGGATCACAGCCTTGATTTAAAAATCAAATAAATATATTTAGAGAAAATAAATAAATATAGCTAGAGAAAATATATTAAAGGAAATATAGAAAAAATCCTTAGACATACACAGTAGTCAGATCTTGTAGGTCTCATATTCCTCAGTTACTTTGCAGTTATAATCTGAATAGAATACTAAGGATTAGAAAGTAAAAAAGAAAATTGGCAAAAAACAAACTGATCTTTGCTTGGCTTAATATTATTACATACCTCAGAATCTTAAAAATCACTCTTATAATGAATCAGCCATAAGGTTGGCCTTAATTAATTCAGTCTCCTGTGCAAGATCATAAATGAAACATAATTCATTGTAATTTTCATTTACCCTCCTCTACCCTTTAAAAAATAAGAAACTTCTATTTTAACCTTCTTGGCCTAGTGTTTTAATTCAATGACATAGTGAAAATGCATGGAATCGACTTAAATACCTTTTTAGATTTTTTCGGTGAGTATTGGCTCTAACCTGAGTATTTCCTTGTTGACATTAATGCAGTTTATTCAATCAAAAGCTACATTAAATTCTATATCTTCACTGCATTTATCAATTACACTCCTTTCCAGGTCACTAACCTCTCCTGAATTTTTTATTACTAAATTACTTTGATGAAGTGATGCTTAAATTTCTCTTTAGTACTTCCTAAAGTTATGAAACTGATTTCCATTCAGGCTCACATCATCATCTGTCAGACTATTTCTTGGGAAACTGTTCTAGCAAATACACGCACGTGCTTGCACACACATACAAAGCGCCTCAGGCTTTGCAATATTTCACGTACGGATCCGTAGAGACAGAAGTAGTTGGCAATAAGGAAAATGGGGGAGACATTTCTCACTAAAGTAACTAAGGACATTTAAAAATAAATAAGCAAAAACAGTGCTCCCAAGATACAGTTCAAACACAGTGAAGAGAAATACCAACACACAATTCCAGTATCTGTAAGAAATTTACCCTGAAAAGAAGGCACATGATTTAAATAACTTTACCCAGAACTTATATAAAAGCATTTTTCAGATTTGTTTCATAGGACTCAGGCAGTTTACAGCACAATATTAAAAATCTTTGTGCCTTTCCCAACGTTTTTATTTATTTTTGGGACAGAGAGAGACAGAGCATGAACGGGGGAGGGGCGGAGAGAGAGGGAGACACAGAATCGGAAACAGGCTCCAGGCTCCGAGCCATCAGCCCAGAGCCTGACGCGGGGCTCGAACTCACGGACCGCGAGATCGTGACCTGGCTGAAGTCGGACGCTTAACCGACTGTGCCACCCAGGCGCCCCTCTTTGTGCCTTTCCAATTCTTGACTTAAAGACCTGGAATCTTTAGGTCTTTAAGATTTAAAAAAAAACAAACAAACAAACAAAAAAAAAACAGTATAATCATCTGTCTACTCTGCAAGAGCTTATTTCCAAGCAGATAATAATGTCAAATTCCTCTCACACTCTCCTCATTTCCATTGTTCGTATAATTTTACAGTATTAATTATAATAAGCAACTTGTGAAAACACGAGGCTAAAAATAAAAGGTAGGATGAACAAAAGTGATTCATTTACTGCTTCGGAAGTTTCCTCCAATTGTTACCATGCTCTGGGAGACTGAGAATGTAGACCCAGGTTCAGGGGGAAGAAACTCAGTGACATGATGCCTGTCATGGTACGTGGGCTCCATCCTTATGCCTTCATCCAAACTCAATTACTTCCTAAAAGTCCCACCTCCAAATACCATCATATGAGAAATTAGGGCTTCAGGGGCGCCTGGGTTTCTCAGTCAGTTAAGCATCTGACTCTTGATTTTGGCTCAGGTCATGATCTCACAGGTTGTGAGATCGAGCCCCATGTCTGCATGGAGCCTGCTTGGGATTCTCTTTCCCCCACCCACCCCCTCTCTCTCCGCCCCCTGCCCTTACACACTTTCTCTCATGAAATAAGTAAATGAAGTTTAAAAAAAAAGCAATTAGGACTTCAGCATGTCCATTTTGAGGGACACAAACATTCAGTCCGTGGCAAATACGTTCATATAATGAAATACTACACCATAATGAGAATAAATGAAGTGCACCTTCGTGCAACATCTCATAACTATAATTTTGAGCAAAGGAAGCCAGATATGTGAATATATTAAAATATTCCATTTATATAAAGTTGAAACAGAGACAAATATTAACTACGGCATTACAAGTCAGGTGTTTTCTATTGGGGAGTAAGTATTAATAGTATTAATAAACCCTAGAAGGTCCCAAAGAAAGGCTTCTAGGGTTTATTAATACTATTATTTTATTCCCTGTTACATTTTAGGTACCTTTACTTTGAAAATTCTTTAAGCTTTACATCTATAATCTGCAAAACTTTTAAGGCATTGTTACACTACAGTGAAAAATGACATTTAAAGTCTTTAGGAAACATAATTGTTATGAAATAGAAGTGTCCTTGGTTAAGCTTAAAATAACTTGATATTAGACTGTAAACTGTGTGTTTAAAGCTCAAGACCTTTCTTTAAGTAGTAAAAATGAAACAAGGTTATTGTCTGTTAACAAACAGTAGTCTTGGCATATCTCAATTTTTCAATTGGAAATGAAGAAATATATTCACATTGGCCTCTGGATAAAACACCACTGCATATAGGTGAAAGCAAATGATTACCTCTAAGAATTAAAGGAAAATTTCTCCAAAAATATTGTTCTGAAAAATCAGGAAGAAAATTTCAGGAATTTATTTGGAATCTTTAAAAAAGCATACAAGGATGTGTTCTCTTTACATTTAGTAAAAAAGCCAAGTGAGCACAGATTGATATTAAAAAGGTATGGACTGAAAAAAAAAAAAAGACAACAGGGTGAAATAAGAAAATATATACAAATTTATAGTCCTGATGGTGTGACTAGATTTAATAAACAAAATAAATAATTTCAGACATTTCTGGGGAAAAAAAAGTTTTATACAGGGTGCCTAGGTGGCTCAGTCAGTTGAGCATACGACTTCAGCTTAGGTCACGATCTCATAGTTCATGGGTTTGAGCCCTGCATCAGGCTCTGTGCTGACAGCTCAGAGTCTGGAGCCTGCTTTGGATTCAGTGTCTTCTTTTCTCTCCCCTGCTCACTCTCTGCCTCTCTCACTCTCAAAAATAAACGTTAAAAAAATTAAGTTTTATGCTAATGAATGCCATTTCTTTCTTTTTTTTTTTAGTGTTTTTCTTTTTTTTTAATTTTTTTTCAATGTTTATTTATTTTTGGGACAGAGAGAGACAGAGCATGAACGGGGGAGGGGCAGAGAGAGAGGGAGACACAGAATCGGAAACAGGCTCCAGGCTCTGAGCCATCAGCCCAGAGCCTGACGCGGGGCTCGAACTCCCAGACCAGGAGATCGTGACCTGACTGAAGTCGGACGCTTAACCGACTGCGCCACCCAAGCGCCCCTAATGAATGCCATCTAAGCATAAATGAATGATCCTTCACTGATCAAAATTAGATATAAAAGTTATATCTGAAAATATCAATAATTATGAATTTTATGTGAGTTGTTGGCCTTGAAAACAAAGCCAGTTATATGACAAACAAAATAGGTTCATTCAGGAATAGCAGAGGAATTGCAATTTTAGGACATGAAAGTTATGGCAAAACTACAGGCAAATCCAGAGAAGAAAGAAGAAAAATGTTACTTTATGGAGAAAAAGGAGGAACTTGGGGAGGGTTTTTCTGAATGAAAGTCCCTTCGAGGAGAGTGAGAATTCAGGATGGTGATCATCTCTCATTGGCTGAGGTCTGTCAGCTTCTCATTGGCTGGGCTGTTGCTGGGCAAGGACAGAATTTTTCTTGCTGGGATAGTAAATTAGGCTTCTTCCTGTTGGAAAATGCAAGGTACCCTTGTTCCTCCAATTGACAGTGACTTGGTAGGGCATGAGAGTTCTCCCTTCTGGCCTCCCAACTCTATTTTAAATGGGGTTTCCTTTGTTCCGTTTCACAGAGTTTAAAGGAATCCTATGAACATTCTGAAAGGCATTATTTATCAAAACTGAGAAGGAGGTTTTTCAAAGTTCTCCATACAAAACTAAATGTCAGAAAACAATAGATCAATGTATTCAGTACTGAAGAGGAAAAATATTATGAATAAAGAATATAAAATTAGGCAAACTTGCGCAGATGTTGGTGACAAAGAGACAATTTCAGTTGTAACAATCAAAAAGTAGAACACGCATACCAACTTCAAGGGGAAAAGAACCACTAAAACTTATGAAAGCAGTGAGGAGAAAAAACAATACTTTTCAAAATAGGGAAATAATAGTGTAAAAGAACAATTTTGAACACAGAAAACACTTAAAATATTAAAAAGTCTGAATAATTGATGTGAAACTAGTCTTGACAATAGCTACAAAAGTTAC